GAGGAGGGTTGTGGGGAGCTGTGCAGCTACGTGGTCCGACAGGTACCAGAGCCCATTTCCACATCTCTGAGGTGAAGAAATCGGAAAAGAGAGTGAAGGGGGGAGAGGAGGAGAGGAGGGGGACTGGGGGAGAGACGAGCGGAACAGACCGGTGCCGGATACACGCGTAGCGGCTCGCCCGCACTGCAGATTAACTCTTCCAGCACTGACGCACCACGCAGCGGGTGAGTTGTGACTATCGTCTCTTCCTCTTCGCCGCGGAGTGCGTGTGTTTCTGCGCGTCTGTGAACCTTGCAGCATGCGTGCCTGCTTTCGCAAAATGAGACGATGTGTCCGAGACTGAGTAGGATGAAAGTTTTACCGCCGGTCCACAAACGGGGGGCGAAAAATAGAAATAGAGGTGAGAGAAGGACTGGGCACCTCCGTGTATCTCTTTCCGCCCGTGTCTCTACTCCTCTCGCGTCCTGCCTTCCAACAGCCTCTCGTTTCTCATCTCTTAACATGTCCTCTTCTCCTCCATTCCTCTCCTGTCTCGGCGTCGTTCATCTCGAATTCCCCGTCTGCGCCCTCATCTGCTAAGATACTTTGGGACCTCTTGCGTTGTTAGTGCTGACTCGGATATCTTGCACTTGGTGTGTATCGATGCCGGGCTGTGCTTTAGTCTCCAGTCATGGTCTTGTGTTTTATTATTATTGCAATCCGAAGAGTTACCGACTAAAATCCTCGCGTAACACAAGGAGAACGGAACACACGCACAGTGTTGTGTGTACACGATAGCACCGTGTGTGTATCATGCACGTTGTCATTATGCACAACGCAATGTGCACGGGACTGTGTGTGTCTTGAGTGTTAAATTCACAAGCGGAGTGGGATGCTGTGCTACACATACAGTCACGGGTGTTTAGCTCTGCAGATGCAGGACACGACAAGGCAGTCTGCTCAATTGAAAGATCTGTGGTCAGAGTTTGGGTCAACTTATAATAAGAAGTGCAAACACAGTTCAGGAGTAAGCAGGCACTCTCGGTAAAAAACGCCAATTTCCCATTTCGGCCCTTCAACTCCTTCATCTCAATACAGGGGTCTGGGTCATTGTTGCAGCTTTTGGTCACTTTATTCACTCAGTGGTCTTTCAATGTTGCTGACTTCGGCAGGCAAGTTCAGGTTCACTCTCAGTCTCTGCAGTTGACGCTTTGGGTCCACTCTGAGCTCTCTCTCTCTCTCACTCACTGCGGGGGTGCCAGGCAGAGCTAAAGAGGAATGCTGCATTGTGCTGCAGTTTAAACTCTGCTCAGGTGTGAGCCAGCCGCCGATAACCCGAAACCGATCCGTCTTCTGCACAGACCTTGCCCAGACAGATCGAAAGAGCTGCAGAAGGTCAGCCAGTTGAAAAGCTGGGCACCGTAATGTGAGATGACCCACGCAGGGACTGCACGAGTCTCGTGGGTCTGAGCTTCACCCTCATGCCCTTCAGTGCACTGTCGTCTCCAGCCATCCACGCACACGGCTGGTTTCACTGCACAGCCCCTGACGCCTCCTCTGATTGTAGGGCTGGACGCTGCTCCGAGTTTACAGAGGTCACAGTGCGAGCGGGCTGGTCACTGCGCACGTCTGTAAGAACTGGAATTGGGAGTACTGTCTGAACACTCACCCAGCAAAGCCCGGTTCCCCCTGGTCTTCAGCACAAGGGCATTTTTCTGACCTTCCCTCGGAGCGCTGCTGCAGGCTGGGTTTCGCATGGCTTTGCAGTTACAGAGCAGGGACTCCACTACTCGTGGGAAGCACAAGGCGAAACTGCGTGCTGACCCTTCGAAGGGTTTTCTGAGATGCCGTGTGCGGCGAGGTGGTGCAGTGGTGGACAAAGGAACGTTTCTGACCCCTCAGTCGCAGTCCTTTCAGCTGTTATTTAGAGGGGCAGAAATACCTGACCGACACCTCCCCCAGATACCCACATACAGCCCACATGAAGACAGTGGCGTGGCTCTCTTGCTGATATCTCCTACAGTCCAGTGTCCAGCGATCAGGCTCTGTCAGAGCTGTAGAGTCCAGTGCAGTCCAGACAACCAGTCTTCAGTCACAACCCAGCATATGGGTGCTGGACCTGACTTTTAAACGAGAGGAGGCCATTCGGGCTCTTTTGTGTTTCGGCTTATTAGCTAGTTGAACTGAAAATATCATTAAGCTACTTTCTGCGACCTGACTGAGAATCCTGTTCCATACACCCACAACACTTTGTGTAAAGAAGTGTTTCCTATTGTCTATTATACTTTTTAATTGTGGCCCCGTATTCTTATCCCACAACTGAGTCTGAAGCAAACCCCTGGACTGACACTATCTATACCCATCAGCATATTGCTTAATTAGATTAAAAATCCCCTTGATCTCCTCAGCTTTAAAAGAGAGTCCCTTTAACTTGCTTGTATAGAGAATGCCCTGGGTCGATGAATCATTCTTGTTGCACAGTTTGTAATTCTTTCGGGATGTTTTTTTGTTTTTTTTATTCCACTTCAGACTTCAGTGACTTTGTTGAATGCTGTAAGTGGATAGAAAGTCCAGTCAGCTGTTTTTCCCAGATTTTAATTAGGTGCTGACTGAAAGACCCTTCTAAAATCAGCAGAAATCTGGTCGCTTTCACATAGGGCTACAACATCTTTTCTTTGGTACCACAATATATTCTAAATAAAGTCTTACTAGGCATTGTAAAACCTTACCTTCCAAGCTTTTAATTTAAATTCCATGCTTTTTCCTATCTTTGTGCTTTTTGCATTAATTCCTCACATTCTTTCTGTTTCTGGAAGAATCTACAGTACATTGACAACCAGATCCCCCTCAGACATACTGTAGCTTCCTGTAGCTCAGGATCGCCTATGCAATATGTACAGTGTCAGTATTTTGCACTTGTCGATGTCATTTTTTTATTTTTTGTACCTCTCAACATCAAATTCCATTTTCCAAGTGTTGGCTCAAGCCACGATCCGCCTTTGTCCTATGGGACATTCCTTGCTACTGCTTCTGTTCTGCTAATGTTAATGTTAACTAACATAATAACGGCTATGTCCGAGAGGGCTCGATTCAAGCTTCTTCAAATTTTTTTTTCAGTAGCTAGTTGATCCAGTGATCTCATACACGTTTCTTAGAGGAAGTCAGGGTATCGGCTTCAACACCTCTGCCTGCTTGTTCCACACTCCCACTACCGTTTGTGTAAAGATGTGCCTCCCGTTCTCAGGTTTGAATGCAGTTCCCCTTCCTAGCGATACTTACTCCCACTCGCGCTCTCTAACCATCTAGCTCATTTGATAGCTAGCAGCGAATTCATCCACTTTTCTATTCGTGATCTCTTCCAGACATTTCTAGAAAGAAGCCAGGCTGCTGGTTTCAGAAAAGACATGGCTGAGTAGCTTGTTCCTTACTTCCAGTGGCGTGACTGGGGGTGAAGTCTAAATAACTGCTATAGCTCCAGAAGAGCAGCAGGCCTGAAACAGAACCCTGTGGCACTCATGGCTCACTGTTCCCTTCATGCATGCGTGGACGTTACCTTGGATGCCTACAGATTTTGTAAATTAACCTTTTATAAACCGAGTGTCCATGAATCACTTTTCTATTAGTAGCATCATGCATATCACTGTATCAGAGTTATCACTTTGTCTTCTCAATGTGTTTGATTCCCACTGTGGATATACCATATAAAGACTTCTGCCCAGTTTTCCAGTCTCCATAGTGAAGGTGATTGTAATGCACTGTTTTTTTTATTCTAATGCAAAAAATACAAAAATAAACTGGGGGTTCAATGTGTTCACTACTGTATGTCTAGTGTCAGTAAGGGTTCTCTCTGCACTGCAGTGTCCAGTGTCTGTAAAGGTTCTCTCTCTGATCACCAGGGTCCAGTGTCCTATGGGAGCTCAAGACATCAAGTAGCATTGTAAACGCCTGTTGCGGCTACATGGTTTGGCCACTCTCTTGGAGATGATACAATAAACTCAAACAATTTCTCAAAAATAACGGGATCTTAACAAAGCAAAAAAAAAATGTCAGGTTTATTTTCTGTCATGATTTCAAATGGCCAGTTTCTATCTTAAAAAAAAAAACATTTTCCAACAATGTTGAAGGTCTGGGTAAGTTGCATATATTGCAAAGGGTATTGTTGGCACAGTGAGCCAGACTCATGAGGCTTGATGTAGTCCAGGAGTACATATGGAATCACAGCGAATGAGGAGTGGAAGATGGTTGGTCACATGATATGGGCTCCCCTCATCTTTTTTAAATCAACGAAAGTGCAGTTCTGAAACCTGGTGCACAATATTAGCTGATTTTCATATTATAATATTAGTTGCTCAGGAACATGTGGGTTAGTCACATGGTATGATGCCATAAAACTGTAGCATCCAAATGATTTTTTCTGCGGATGCACTTGGCCAATCAGTTCATAATTTTGTGTGCATCAATAAGGACAGAACACAGCTGTTCCAAACAAGCTACTACTTTAAACAAACAGGGCTGCGATGAGCCAATTCATTTTCATGTGTGATTAACAGTTGTATCTTTTCATATACTGTATTGCAAGGATTAGCTGCAGTATAATGTTGCAGGCTCATGGATAGCCAAGGGAATCAAAGCCTATGGACAGTAGAGTGCACAGCTGAATGAAATTGATCAAACCTATAAAGCCTATCACCTTCTGGTCAATTTAAAAAATATTCTGTAACTCTTTAATGAATTCAGATTGGATCATTGTTACTGTGGAAAACAAATAGGAATCCTGTTTAATCCAGAAAAAATATTGTTTTTTCAGCGGCTACTTGATCCAGTGATCTCATCCACGAAATCAGGGTATCAGTTTCACCAACTCTGCCTGCTTGTTCCACACTCCCACTACCTTTTGTGTAAAGATGTGCCTCCCGTTCTCAGGTTTTAATGCACTTCCCCTTCCTAGCGATACGTATTCCCACTCGCGCTCTCTAACCATCTAGCTCATTTGATAGTTAATAGCGAATTCATCCACTTTTCTATTCGTGATCTTTTCGATACAATACACTGGTTTCACACAGTACCATTACAACCCCTGACAAAGTCTGGGAATTAAAGGACAGCCTCTCTTTCCTAATTCTTTGAAATTCGAAAATAGCTCCAGAGCACTAAGTCCATAAAGTGCTTAGATTTTAAACATTTTTGTATCTGAAAACTACCAGGTTATTATATGCAGATTATTTTTCGTGATGGATTATTAACTCTAACAGATAATCCAGGGTGTCCAACAGGATATGAATGTGAGTCACATAGTATATATGAAGGCTTCCACAGGCATGTGTTAAGATAACTCAACATAAGAAAATGAGAAACTGGCTGATCATGCCTTTTCTTAAATGGATGCTGCTTTTTAGATTTATTAAGGATCTTATGTTCTGTATTCACTCACTCGGAGACTGCTCACAAGTCTGAAATGCCCATGTTAAGGGAGCCCTTACATCACACCTAGGCTCAACAGATCTTGCCTCTTCTACCGATCAAGATGCGATCAGGGAGGGACTCCTGTTTTGCTCGAATGCAGGCTGTGCTCTGTGATCCCGATATCGCAGGTTTGAGCCTGGGTGATGTCCCTAGCCGACCGTGACTGAGGTCCCCCAAAGCTGTGCGGGCAACACAAGCGGTGCCGCTGAGGACAGGTATGGAGTTTATCAGCTGGGGGTTTTCCTGACGCTACTTGAATCAAGTAGGGAACGTGACGCTACTTGAATCATCACTGGACCTTCTGTGTGGGGCTGCGTAGTGTCAGGAACCAATAGATTGAATAGGGGGATCCTATGCGTTGCCCTGAACCCTGAAGGAATGCAGAGTAGAACCGGAACTACATCCGAGACAGACAATCCAAAAAACGATATCCGAAAGGCGAGGTCGAGAAGGGAGTCAGTCGAGGAGGTAAGAACGCACACTGGAGAACTCTACGGGAGGCTTCTCGATAGTGAGCGTGGCCTGGTGAGTGAGAGAGGTTTACATACTGAAGGGAAAGAGACGTTGTTAGAAAATTGGTTCAGGAGCGAGGATCTGTGGAATCTGGTGCACGTGAGAGTGTGCTGGCTTCAGTGGGAATGGATGGGAGAAACAGAGGGTTCGGGAAATACCCCAGCGTTTGTGAGGAGGAGTGTGAGACCTGACACGTAGCCTATGATGTGGTGAAAGATTAGAGACTTGAAGGTGGGAGGTCGCAGGACCCTACCTCTTTCTCCATGTGTGTGGTTGCTAGGTGTCTGTGGCTCCCCTCTCTGTACTGGATGAAGTGGTTAGAAAATGGATGTCAGAAATGTTAGGCTGAACCCATTTAATCACAGTCACAGTCGGCTAGTGACGTGACCCAGGCTCAAGGTTACGAATGTGCCTCTCATTCAATAATAATAATAAAAAATTCCTTACACTTATAGAGCAGTTTTCTGGACACTCTACTCAAAACGCCCCACCTGGATGATATTATGGCAGCCATAGTGCACCAGTACGCTCACCACACACCAGCTGTCAGCGTGGAGGAGAACAGAGTGATGAAGCCAGTTCATAGGTGGGGATTATCAGGAGGCCATGATTGGTAAAGGCCAATGGAAAATTTGGACACCAGGGTGACACCCCTACTCTTTTCAAGACACCCTGGGATTTTTAATGACCAAAGAGTCAGGACCTCGGTTTAACATCTCATCCAATGGACAGGACCTTTCACAGTATAGTGTCCCCGTCACTATACAGAACATTAGGTGACCTCCCCCTGCAGCCCCACTAACACCTCATCTAGTAGAAACCTTTGCTTTCCCAGGAGGTCTCTCATCCAGGTACTGACCAGGCTCACACCTGCTGAGCTTCAGTGAGCTGCCAGTGGTGAGTTGCAGGGTGACATGGCTGCTGGCTCCATCATCAGTGAACCTCCTGAATGGGGCTGTGTAGCCTGCGATGTGATGAAAGATGAAAGGCTTGAAGGTGGGAAGGTTACAGGACCCTACCTCATTCTCCCTGTGTGCGCTTGCTAGGTTTGTAGGTGTGAGGCAAGGCATGAAAAACATGGGCAATTCCAAACTGGGTGGCTCTGTAACAAAAAATACCTTTTTCAGAAACTGTGATCGGTTCATTTCTCATGTTCCCAAGCTGAGTTATCTGAAAGCAATGTGTGGGCGGCTGTCTGAGTTCATGTCATGTTGCTCTGACCATAAAGCATTAAGAATATATACTGTAGGTGCACTATGGATCCAGGCACACTGAGTCACTGAGTGACGCACTCGGTGATGGCTGGATTTGATGTTTTTCTTTCTCTGTCTTGCAGGTATGTGGGGTTCTGGGCGCTGGTCTACGCACACAGGCGCGCGCACAGACCCCCGCGCAGGACAACGCACAGACACATAGACACACAGGAGAGGAACCGCCGAGAAGCAGGTAGAGATGCCCAGCCACTCACACGGGAGCCAGAAAGACGACCACAAGCACAAACAGTGAGAAGCACAGCCCCCTCGTCCCGCCCCCGCGCGCCCCCGCGCTCGGTCCGACAGACACGCCGCCCCCCGGTCCCTCAGCGCGTCAGCCAGGCGGTGGGCGGCCGGGGAGTCTCGCTCCGGACGGATGCAGCACATCATCGAGCAGAACCCCGACATGGCCACGGCTCTGCTCGCCGGAGAGAAGCTGAGGGAGCTGATCCTGCCGGGGCAGCAGGACGAGAGGGCGGGGCCGCTGGCCGGCCTCATGGTGCAGCTGAAGCTCGAGCTGCCCTTCGACCGCGTCGTCACCATCGGCACCGTCATCATCCCCATCCTGCTGGTGACGCTGGTCTTCACCCGCAACTTTGCAGGTCTGTCCTGGACCCCGAGGTACACTGGCATGGCGGTGGTTGATATCTTGATGTCAAAAGAACGTGCTAGGTCACCCTATATAATCACTGTACGTCATTTGTTTCTTCATACTTTTATGGTAGTATGTATGGAAAGAACCACTCTTTAGAATGGGGTTTCACGTAACCTGCATTTTGTGTATTTTGAAATAGAACAGACAGGGAGTTTCCCATTTTCATAATCCATCCGCACGACATAGGGTTGCAAGGGAGGCAGAGCCTATCCCAGCTAGCAGGAGGCACAGGGCAGGATACACTCTGGATGGGACA